GATTCTGCAAAGTCCCTACCCCCAGTTAGGAAGGGCACCAGCACCTAAGAAATGAAGTCCACCAAAAAGGAAGACTAGAGAAGGTTGGCCCGTTAGAGGAAAGGCTTCTAGCTGAAGATCCAGCCCCAGTGGGACAGACACACACACACACAGACACACACATGCCCCCACTGGGCTTTGCACAAACAAGAGAGCTGGAGGCGATGAGCCAGCAAAACTGCCCAATGACAAAAGGCTTTGTCTTCTCAGGAAGCCAGGCACCATTTAAAGGCACGGAAGCACACAAGGAGACCAGCTGAGGCAGGCACACACAACCCACCACAGGGCAGTCAGCCGGGCACTCTTCTCCACACCCCCACCCAGTGCCAGTGGAGGCATGAGCCCAGGGAGGAGGGAAGGCACAATGAATTTCTGAAGTAAAGTTTAAATAGATTTTATTGTTACAAGGGGGATCCCACCAAGCAGGGTCAATGACCCCCCAGGAGGTCACCATGGAGACATCAAGAGGTCATGATTGCAGAAGAGGTGACTGGAATTGAACGACATGATCCAGGGGAGGCCGGCCAGAAATGCAGTAACATGACCAGGATAGGCCGGTGGGGCTGGTCAGGTCACAGTGTGAGGAGCAGAATGGCCCCCTTCACTCCGGCCTCTTGTAGTCCTCCAGGTGTGACAGGATCCAGCCCGCTGGCAGGAAGAGGCTTACAAAGCAGGAGGTAAGCGCAATGGCCTTTTCCTACACAAAGCACAAGAAAGAAGGCACCTCGGAGTCAGTATTCCCCTAGGCTCTCTAAGTCCTAGCAGTTCCCAGGCAGCAGAAAGCCCCCCTTAGGGAGCCAGGACTCAGAGGCAAGTGGGAGGCCCCTCATCCTCACATTAAAGGAATCCACGCTCCAGGGAGCAGACAGAGCAGATCCAAGGATCCACTAACCCTTGAGGTAAAGGGTCAGTTATAAGGAGGGGGAGGAGTGAGAGGAAAGAGAGACAGCTGGAGTGAGGGTTCAAGGAGAAATCCACCACCAGATCACAAAGGAAGGGAAAGGAAGCAGGATTTATTGAAACCTGGTTTGTTTGTTTTTTTGAGACAGAGTCTTA